ACCTATTGGAGTAAATGGGAGAAGTTTGTCTTCTCTTAGGGCAAAGATGAACCCTGATTTGTATTCTCTTAGGGCAAAGACGAACCCTAATTTGTCTTCTCTTGGGGTAAAGATGAACCCGAAATAGTGGTACATCGCATGGTAGGCTACTATTTAGATAAGGGCACATCGCTCGGTAGGCCATTATCAACCAACAGTGCCTTTTGTGGGAAGGACGGTGCTGGGGGAATCAAATCGTTCAGGGATGTATAAGTATGAAAACTGATCGGACAACATCATTTGTAGGAGTGACGATGTCGGCTATCGGAGGTAATTGTTAACCTAATAGTAATTGCTGTGAATGGGGCGACTTTGTGGACCTACAGCTCCATTGAAGAGAGTCGGTAAGTAGATTCTGGTCAGAGGTGTGATGTTAACATGACAGTGATTGTTGTGATCGGAATGACTTTGAGGACCTACCATCCTATTAAAGAGGATTAGTAAGTTGATTTTGTCAGAGGTGAAGTGTTAACATGACAGTGGGAGTTTGTTACAATTTGAGCAACTCTGTGGACTTACCATCCTATTAAAGAGGATTGGTAAGTTGAATTGTCAGATGTGACTGTTAACGTGATAGTGGGAGTGGTCCTATCGTCCTATTAGAGAGGATCGATGGGGGAAATTTGGAGGAGACTATCAAAGGTAATGACTAACTTGATAGTCTTACCAGATCCATTGTCAAGTTGAATAAAACTGATGGAAAAATAGCTATCAGAGGTGACAGTTAACTTGATAGTTTTGGGGACCCACCACCTCATTAAAAAAGTTGGCGAGGGAACTTGGCTTTGGTCCTAACTGTAGGAAGGTTTGACCAGGGGGGAGATTTGGATGAAATCTTCTGCCGACACGTTGCTCATTCGAGTAGAACGTCTCCACTACGAATGGGTAATGAAGTTGCTATCGGCTATAGGTTTTCCTGCAGTTGATGCATTTAAACGTCACCGATCATTTTTGGCCAATAGTAGCGAAGTCTTCGCAGTCAGTCCCATAGTATGGGTCCGAGTTAGCAAACTCGGCAAATGCCATCAAGGTCTTCTTGAGCTTCAAAGCAACACCCCTCTATTTCAAAGAGGGTTTGGATGAGGAGGTGGTTTCCACTACCAAGATGTCTTGGTCATCATCCCCTTGAAATTCATATGGCCCTTCAGCATCCATGCGCTTGAGCATGCTCTCAACTTGTTCTCCTTGACGGATTAAGTCTTTCCACGAGCAAGCCATGACTGCGCCCATAGTAGATAGGATATCGATGGAGAGATTGTTCCGGCACATCTCCATGATAGTGGCCTCAGAAACCTGATCACGTGTATGCAGCGATCGGTTCCTGAATCTCTTGACAAAGTTGCTTACAGACTTTGTCTTCTTCTGCTTTGCAGCTAGCAAGGTGGTCATAGATACTTCTTTGTCATCGTCGAAGAATTTTTGCATGAAGAGCCTTTCCATGTCCTTCCAGCAGGTGATGGATCCAGACTCTAATCTGCAATACCATTCAAAAGCGACCCCCTTGAGGGTACCAATGAACAGTCGAGTCATAATGGGATCATTCCCCACTATGTGTCCAGTCTGCGTCTGGAAGTAGTAAATGTGCTGGGTAGGAGAACCCTTGTCATCAAACTGAAGGAGGTCCAGTGGCTGAAATTTTGCTGGGTAGGAGACTGTATCCCATTCAATTGGATACGATCTGACAACCCCCAACTCGTTCATGTGCTTCTGGAGCTTCAAAGCGTCGAGTTGACTTTGGAATTCATCGAGCCTTTTGTCCCTTGGATTATGACCCAAAGATGACGTTCCTCCAGAAGACTCGGATGAGGAGTGAGAAGGAGTAGGCACCCGCTCTTTGTGATTCAAAGATATGCGCGAAGCCGACGAAGTCCTCTATTTCTTCTTCTTCTTCTCACTCAGAAGCTGTTCCAACATCTCCTTCAGAGAATCAATGGTTGCTTGTTGCTCGTCGAGTCTCAGATATCTCATCAGGGATGTCCATCATGTGCACATTTACTTACTCGCCCTGAACTGAGCTTGAGATTTGTGACGTCACCACTGTCGAGCAATCATCATCGTCATCATCAGAGACGGGTGCTAGGCACGTGTAGTCAAACAGAATGGCTACCCCCATTTGGGCGCGAGTGCATTGGTGGATACCTTCACGACCAATGACCTTAGACTTCCCTATCACATGACAGTTGCGGCGGGGAGCTCCACCTCATCGAAAGTCTCGTAGGGCGTGCATTTGCAAGTCAACTCTACCTCATCGAAAGGCTCGTAGGGCGTGCATTTGCAAGTCAAGTGTCCTCTGAGATCCCCTGTAGGTTGATAGTGGCAACCCCAAGCATTAGAAAGACCAAACGAGTGCTTACAAGAAGAGGACTTATGAGAGAACTTAGGAGAACACTTGGGAAAATCTCCAAGTGTTGAAATCTGGCGAGCTCGCTCTGATAGGCGAGCTTGGGCCTGTTGGCGAGGTTCAGGCTGGTGAGGCCCGCCTGTTGGGCGAGTTTGGTGCATTGCGCCTGTCTGGCGAGCTGCTGCTTTGCCTTTCTAGCGTATGTCGACTTGCAGATGAAGTTGGTCTGTCAGACGAGCTTGGTGAAATCCTCCTCTTTGAGCTTGCAGGCGAGCTTGGGCTATCAGGCGAGCTTGATGAAGTTTGCTTGTTTTATGAAGTCCGCCTGAACTGCGGAGTTCACCATACTTACGAAGTTGGCCAGATTTGGGAACCTCACCTGAAGAGCGGAGTGTTGGGGCCCTTTTGTTTTGATGATGATTTACAAACAATTTACATCTAATGTTGTTTGTCTAGTATTTGTGTTTTGTATCTATTCTAGGTAAACAATATGTTGGAGGATGGATGGAATCAAGTCTCAATGATCATATCCAATGGAGGTTGGCGGAATAGTGGAGTGAAGCAATGCAATTTATGTTGAAGATCCAAGTTCAAACTTCATCCGCAAAGTGTACCAAGAAGAGCTTCATTGAAGATCACAAGCTTGGGTATAATAGTTTATAGTGTTTGTAGTATAGGTTTATACTTGTGTGTTAATACTTTAAGCTCATATTATTCACACACACGTATTTAATGATTTTATCAAAATATAGATCTTTTTGATAAAATATTGTTTTATTAGTTTATAGACTTTAACATCACTTTATACATAGTTTATCAAGTTTATAAAATCATTTTGTAAAGTTTCAAAACATGGTTTAGTCAAAATAACAAAAACAAGTGGTTCATGTTTTCATATTTTGGACTAGTTTTGTAAAATAAAGAGTTTTAACAAATATGAAGTGCAATTCCAAAAATTATTTTTGTGACATGTTCATTTACATATTTATAAACATTTTCGAAAGTTTCATAATTTTTGGAATTTATTTGCTATTTTTAAAGGCACTTCAAAAATCAGTTTTTTAGTTTTAAACAGGCTGATAGTGTGTTATCAGTCGTCTGATCAGCCAACTGATGATTTCAGTTGACTGATGAATGTGCCTGGAATCCTTATTTTCCTCTCTGCTTTGTTTCAGTCGACTGATCAGTCGACTGATGTGTCGACCAATGACATGTTTACTTTTTCCAGATTTTTAGTTTTTGACCAGTTTATAAAATAATTTATTTCTCTCAATAGGGAAGTGATATTTACAAAATTTTCTCTAACATGTTGATCTACATATCTAGAACCTTCCCTCAAAATTTCATAAATTTTGGAGTTGATTTACTGTGTCAAATTGATTTTACAAAGCCGGATGTTTTAGTAGTTTTTAGAAACTGTAATATCTGTGTTCAAATATTTATTTCTCTCCACTGGGAAGTGATATTATAGAAATTCTTTCTCTAACATATTTATCTACATGTCTATAACCTTCTCTCAAAATTTCATGATTTTTGCATTTGATTTACTATTTTTAATTGATTTTACAAACTGAGATACGCAAAATTCCAGCTATCTGAAACTGTCTGTTTTTCTTTTGTCGGGGTCATCAGTCGACTGATGTACATTTTCAGTCGACCGATAACCTCATAACGGCTAGTTTTTCTAGATTTTCATATATCCGTTATTTTGTCTTTTTGCTTGGTTTTCTTAGGTTTTTGTGGGTTGTTTCTTCATCCTATATATACCCCTTGCCCTCTAATATTCACTACAACAGAAAAGCTAATCCGCGAGGAATAAGTTTGTCGTTGAAAGTCGATATTTCTTCGCCGTAGTGTGTTGGCGAGGAAAAAACTTTGGTCACCATTTTCTCGCGGTAGGATGGTCAAGAAAAGTTTCTGCGATGAATATTATAATTTCTCGCAAAATCCTTTTTGCGATGAATATATTCTTTTCTCGTTGTTACTCTTTAGCTGAATATTATAATTTCTCGCAAAATCCTTTTTGCGATGAATATATTCTTTTCTCGTTGTTACTCTTTAGCCTCGATATTTTTTGAATATATTCTTTTCTCGTTGTTACTCTTTAGCCTCGATATTTTTCCTCACCTAATCTCATACCTTTTTTATCGCTAAACTACAGTTTCCTCGCTAATGATATGTGAATAATATTTAATTTATATAATAAAAGTTCTAAAAAAACTATTTTCGTCGTTGTAAGTATCTTTCAGCGAGGAAACTGTTCCTTACCAAAGGTAAATCTTTAACGAGGAAATTGATTTTCTTCATTATATGTATCTTTTTCTCGAGGAAACAATTCCTCGATAAAGGGACTCAAAGACGAGGAAATTTAAATTTGTCGTTGTAGGTTGTACCTCATATTCCTCGCCAAAGAAATTTAATTACGAGGAAATTTACATTTGTCGATATAGATTATATGGTCTATAACAATGCTACAATATTTTTTTTTCAGAATCTACGTTCCACGCTATAAAATATCGCATGTACACAATATTGCACAACACCAAATCATATTCATATACAACACAATCTAATTATATTTCAATATCAAATATAAATATATTCAAATAATACATTCACCAAAATACTAGAGAGATATATAAATTGTTTACATAGATAATAAAAAATACAATTGTTTACATAACTTGATGAACTTTGCATAATTTACAGAATTCAATTGCATTTACTCCGCCAAGTTGTTGAAACATCATTAGGCCGAATGCTACCTGTGCATGGAAAATCCTTCCATAAATACTTTTCTTTTGATAAAAATATATGATAAATACTGATTCATCTACATTCAGTGAGAAATAGCATTAGAAAGGTTTCCTACAATAATTGAATGGATGTATCCGATCTGGAATAGGTCTTGAACTTTAGCCTTGGGAAAGAAAAATTAATACAGTTGGAGGGAAATTTGATGATTTTGTGCTGGTAGTACCTCTGACATCAGAACCCAAGGAATAGGTCCCATTCCTATTGAGTGAAATCTTAAATAAATCTGTATCAAGAAGCAGCATAACAGAACTCATTAGGAATTTTAGAAAACCAAGCATTGAAGTAAGAGATCAAGAATTAAGATCAACATTCTAGTCTAGTTTAAAATAAGATCTCAAATGGCTTATCTTAGTTAATATCGAAGTAGAAATTCCAAGTACCAAAAGTAAATGCATAATGGTTCAATTCAGTGAATTCCTATGGCAAAAATAAAATCAAACTTGTCATAAATAAAATCAAATTTGCACCCAAAAAGCTTGGACAATACAGTGAAAAAATATAAGAGTTCATCAATGTTTGAAATATGTCAGAAGAATAAATTTTGATATTTAGAAGATACAGGTGAAATAAACCTGAGATCAATTCAATGTGACTTATAGTTACAGGATATGAGTTCATATTCAAGCTTGACCTGTTAATATCGAGCAAAATTTTTTACAAACTCCATCTATAGATACTTACATACCTATTTAGTAGACACATGTTCTTTGTTCTTTGCTATTAAATCTGTCACCTGTAATTACTGGTGGATGGGAGGAAACATATAAATGTCAGCTTAAATACTTTATGAATGATATAATACATAAAGTACTGCAGAAAAATTGATCTAGGTTACTAAGTAGAAACACTTTCAAGTTCAACCTATGAACCTATCTGAATGAATATATGCTTATTTGCTTTGAGTTAAAAAAAAAATCTTATTCTAAGATCTCAAATTATTCATGATACCCGTCCTATTTTACAAATTCAAGTTGACTTGTATTACTAGTTCATAAGACTCGTGTCAGTCCGTTCACTTTGATGTTCGACTGAGCATACGTTTCTCATAATTACATTATACGTATGAGAACCACTATTTATACTAGGAAACTATTGGTAAAAACTGATAGAGGAAATTTTTTTGATCTTAGTCAAGTTGAGCATTTTACTAGGAAAATATTGGTAAAAACTGATAGAGGAAATGAAGCCACAACGCAAAATGCAAAAAGAAGACGAAAGGAATCTGTTAGTCTATGTCAAGTATGTATGAGTCCAGCATCTATCTTTTTCAACTACACAATAAATTATAGTCCAAGTAATTTGAATAATACTTAAACCACCAATTAAGAAAATAGAAATTACACCCTCTATTCATAGCAAGTCTAAAAGTTTCTAATTATTTTGTGCGAGACATTATGAAACTCACTTGACGAGGGTCTGGGCAAGTTGCCGGATTGATTTTGATTTGTGCTTGTACAGAGCATTCATGGACTTCCCAATTTTTGTAGCCTAAGGTTCAAAGATAATAATCCAATAAGAAATCGATAATGGCACAAGTCGAGAAATACAAGACTTTAAAAGTTAATAAGGAAAAAAAATGAAATCATACACTGAGGGTTTCCGTTGAGAGCTCCATCAATTGCAGCCTCCTTAATGATTTGGATAGAACGTTTTCAGACTGCAAAAGAAACAAAATTTGCCAGAGAAAACTCTTATTCTCTACTATAATGAACTATGCAATTCAAAAAACTCTAATACCAACTTCAAGCCCTTAACTTCCAATTGAAGAAAAGCTAATCATCTGTTCACAACCATATTGTACCAATACCAATAATGTCTAGTATGAAGAAGGAAAAAAGATCCAACAGCAACCCATAGTTATGTTATTTCCAGTCGCAATAAATTTTCAAGCAATCGAATTAGCATGGAAAATCACCAAATAGAAAAATGATACCATGTAACAACATTCCCGTGGTCACTTTGTGATTCATATTTAAAAAATCCAAAACAGAAGAATAATTCAACTAGAACAATCAAATATTTTGATAGAAGAACTACAAAGATTCCCGAATTAATATTCTGAGATCGAATCTATCCAAAGGAGTTGTAGAAAATAGAATGATTAGGATAAGCCCATGGTGATTAACATTCAAGCCCCCTTGTGCCTTTACTCACTCAAGGTTGATAGCTAGTACTTTGTTCTATTTCATAACATTTGCCTATAAGCTTGCAAGCATTCCTCCGAATCCATTTCAAATACTTCATATTTAGAATCATGTCAGTTATCGGTTGTTCAGCAAGCACAACATCATGTCAACAGTGTCTTCATAATGAACATTAAATATATACTAAACAAGTTTAAAATTGATTATTAGTAGTTCCCAGCATTTCCCAGCATTTGATGTCACATTTAAGCTCAGAAACATTATGATAGTTTCAGACAATAGGCAAAGATTTCAAAACTATCCGCCACACATCGGATAGCAAACAAAACCAACCACTAAGAGCAAAGAACACAATAAAATGAGCAAAATTAACAACAAAAGTAGAATACCTTTGTTCCAATTACCAAATTGCTCCAATTTCCCCTCACACAAGCTCAATCTCTCCTACGATTTAAACCCACATGCTTAATTATCAATCTCTTAGCAGAAAACAACTAAACCCACAAAAATCAAGATAAATTCTTACAATCTCAGTCTTGATAGGATGATCATCTGGTCGAATTCCACTGTACCTCAATCTCACTGCTCAAAGGAAAAAGAAAAAAAAATTATGAAATCAAAAGAATTAATGAGCTCGGGTTAGGGTTTTATACCTGCCAACAGAGAGGAAGCGGACTGGGCGAGCACGAGGAGAGCACTTGCCTGCTGGAGCGGCGACAGCTCGTCGAGGACTCCGAGCTCTTTCACTGATAAGAAGTTAAAGAGATTTGTTTGGAGATCACCGACGCAATCTAGGGTTTCTTTAATTGAATCCACTACCGATTCTGGCACCGCCATTCTCTTCGAGGCGAAGCGTGAGATTTGAAATCGAGCTGCGAGAAATCAATTTTGGGGTTTTTTTGTATAACTAGTGGTTCTGTTAGCGTTTTGCTCGAAAAGGTAAGATTGGAGGGGTGAGGGAGGAGAAGGTGGTGGAGTCGAGGGGGAGAGGGAGGCGAAGAATGCGGGCTCTTGGCGGGACCAGTAGCGGAGGAGGGAGGTCAAGGGGGACAGCGGGCTCGGGCGGCAGCTGGGCCTAGTCATGGAGAAGGAGGTGAGAGGGGAGGAGCGTGAGTTTGAGCTGAGGAGGATGAGAATTGGGGATCTGAATAGTTTCTAGGTTTTTAAAGAGCGGTGAAATGAAAATTTAGGGGGGAACTGTGGTGCTCGGTCTCAAAACCAAAATATCGGACCCATTCCGTCCAGGATGTCAGTCATGGAGAAGGAGGTGAGAGGGGAGGAGCGTGAGTTTGAGCTGAGGAGGATGAGAATTGGGGATCTGAATAGTTTCTAGGTTTTTAAAGAGCGGTGAAATGAAAATTTAGGGGGGAAGTGTGGCGCTCGGTCTTAAAACCAAAATATCGGACCCATTCCGTCCAGGTTGCCAATCTAGCTAGATGGAAAATTCCCTTATGGGTTGCCTTAAACTAGATGGAATTATATTCCGTCTAGGTTGTTTTATCTAGTTTGTTTGATTTTCTACTAGTGTTAAGAAAAGAAAATACATCAAAACATAGAAAAAAATGAAACTGAATCACAACATCATCCCTTTCACAGCCCATAATTGTCTTTTGTTGTTAACCATGGTAACAATTGATCATGTACGCTGCTAAAAAAAGTGGATCTTAACTCAAACTATACTTAATAATGATCATTTCAAAATACAACATACTATTTGAATAATACCAATAATATAGTCAGTCAATAACAAGTATAGTTCCTTTTGCCACCAATAGGAGGTTGCTTATGCTGATAAAATTTTGTGGATCTTTTCCAATTTAAAAACACATGTAGATATCACCCCTTTAATATTTACTGTAATATAAAATTGCAATGTTGCTTTGTGCAAAAGAACCTCTTAGCTTGAACTATGAGGCTCAGAGGCATATCCAAGACTGTTGAAGCATGCAAAAACATGATATACTAGCAACAAAAGATTAAACAACTTGTCAACATGTGCATGCAGGATTTCAACACAAAATTCCCACCAAAATTTTCGCCAACGAATAATGAGAATATTATTATTTCCTCGCTGATTGGTTTTTTAATAAGGAAATAATTTCTCACAAAACAAAATCTTTTAGCGAGGAAGCCTTAAATTTGTCGCCATTGAATTTGGCGGGTTTTGCATATTTTTCCGCCAAAATAATAATGAGGAAACTATTATTTCCTCGCTAATTGATTCTTTTAACGAGTAAAGGGTTTCTCGTAAAACAAAAAAAATTAGTGAGGAAACCTTCAATTTGTCGTCAATGAATTTGGCGGGTGTTGCACATTTTTCCACCAAATTAATAATGAGAAAACTATAATTTCCTTGCTAATAGGTTCTTTTTGAAAACAAAACGGTTCCTCATAAAAAAAAACTTTTAGCAAGAAAGCCTTAAATTTGTTGCTATTAAAATTGGCAGGTTTTACACATTTTTCCGCCAAACTAATAATTAGGAAACTATTATTTCCTCGCTAATTGGTTTATTTAACGAGGAAACAATTCCTCGTAAAACAAAAAATTTAGCAAGGAAACCTTTAATTTTACGTCAATGAATTTGGCGGGTGTAGCAAATTTTTCCGTCAAATTAATAGTGAGGAAACTATAATTTCCTCGCTAATAGGTTCTTTTTGCATCACACATCAGTTCGAATGGTAAGGTCCAGTCCGGTGCATGAATGATAGGAGCTGTGGTTAGCTCCTTTTTCAGATATTCAAAAGCTTTGAGGCAGTCGGGAGAGAAGACAAATGATGTATCCTTGGCTAAGAGATTGGTCAAGGGTCTAGCAATTTTGCTGAAATCCTTGATGAAACGTCGGTAAAAACCAGCATGACCAAGAAACGATCTGACATCTTTGACAGTTTTGGGAGGAGGGAGATTGGAAATGAGATCTACCTTAGCTTTGTCCACTTCGATTCCCCTATTGGAAACTACATGTCCTAAGACAATGCCTTGTTTGACCATGAAATGACATTTCTCCCAATTGAGAGTCAGATTTTTCTCCCTACACCGTTCTAGGACCAGTTTAAGATGATGCAAACATTGGGAAAATGTGTCACCAAAAATGGAAAAGTCATCCATGAAAATTTCGAGAAATCGCTCTACCATGTCGGAAAAAATACTGATCATGCAACGTTGGAATGTGGCCGGTGCATTGCACAGGCCAAAAGGCATGCGTCGGTATGCGAATGTTCCATACGGGCAAGTGAAGGTGGTTTTCTCCTGATCTTCTGGAGCGATAGGGATTTGATTGTAACCTGAATATCCATCCAGGAAACAGTAGAACTCGTGTCCTGCTAAACGCTCTAACATTTGGTCAATGAAAGGAAGAGGGAAGTGATCTTTCCTAGTGGCTAAGTTGAGCTTTCGGTAGTCAATACAGACTCGCCATCCAGTTTGGATCCGAGTGGGAATCAGCTCATTAGCCTCATTTTGGATCACGGTGATCCCAGATTTCTTTGGAACAACTTGGACTGGACTCACCCATGAACTATCAGAAATGGGATAAATGATCCCATGATCGAGACATTTCAGAATGTCTTTCCTAACGGCTTCTTTCATCACTGGGTTTAACCTACGTTGAGCATCTCTAGTAGGTTTGGCATCATCTATCAAATGGATTCGGTGTTGAACAATGGTTGGACTAATCCCTTTGATATCAGCCATGGTCCATCCAATGGCTTCCCTATTCTCTCTTAAAACAGCTAAGAGAGCTTCCTTTTGACCGGTAGTCAACTCAGAAGAAATGATAACTGGTAAAGACTCGTTCTCCCCTAAGTAGGCATACTCTAGATTTTCGGGTAGAGGTTTGAGCTCTAACTTAGGGGGTTCCTCCACAGATGGGCGAAGCTGGACTCGGGGTTCTATCTCTAAAGGTTCTCGTTGCCAGCCAACAGCAAAAACATGATTGACCAGCGGTTCTATCTCAAGTTCGTCATCAGAAAGCTCCTCAATCATTAAATCAGATGCATTTGAATCAGACTCACACTCTCCCTCTTGTTGTTCACTGGATATTCCTTGAATGAAATTCACTTCCATGGGTTCATCAGATGGATCACTAGGCTGTCTCCCTAAGTTGAAGATATTGAGGTCAACAGTCATATTCCCAAAAGATAGTTTCATCTGACCGGTTCTACAGTTTATCAAAGCATTTGAGGTGGCTAAGAACGGTCTTCCTAGAATGACGGGGATTTGACTTTTGAGATTGGAAACGGGCTGCGTTTCCAAGACAATAAAATCAACAGGGAAAATGAACTCTCCAACTTTGATCAGAACATCCTCTACCTCTCCTTTGGGAATTTTTACAGATCTATCAGCTAACTGTAGAGTGCATCTTGTCGGTTTAAGTTCTCCTACACCTAGCTGTTGATAGACTGAATAAGGAAGGAGGTTGACACTGGCTCTCAAGTCTAGAAGTGCCTTATCAATGTGAGTGTTACCTATGACGTATGGAATTGTGGGACAACCAGGGTCCTTGTATTTCAACGGCATGAGTTTTGAAAAAATTTCACTGCGGTTGGCAGCTAAGCTGGCTCCCAAGTCTAGAAGTGCCTTATCAATGTGAGTGTTACCTATGACGCAAGGAATTGTGGGACAACCAGGGTCCTTGTATTTCAATGGCATGGGTTTCGAAAAAATTTCACTGAGGTTGGCAGCTAAGAAGACTTTCTTGGGGACGTTGGTGGTTCTTTTCTTAGTGCATAAGTCCTTCAAGAACTTTGCATAAGAAGGGATTTGTTCGATTGCATCTAGGAGAGGGATGTTGATCTTGACCTGTTTGAATGTTTCTAGGATTTTCTCAACCTGCGGGGAGTTTTTCCTAGGTTTGAGTCTATCTGGAAAGGGGGCAACGGGCCTATACCTATCTAGATCAGGCTCAATCTCAAGTTCAGCATTTTGGTCATCGGAAGGAATTGCTTCATCGGAAGGAGGGTTTTGAATGGGAGAAGGGGGTTGATCCGGGGGCATTCTAACTTGATTGGCTATTTGTTTTCCTGATCGCAGTGTGTGTACTGCATTCAATTGAGCTGGATTGTTGGAACTGGATCCATTGTCTTTAGGGTTTGTAACAGGTTGACTTGGGAATTTTCCTTTTTCTCTCTCACTCACGGCAGCGGCTAGTTGCCCAAGTTGGGTTTCTAACCGGGCTATGGCTTGTGTGTTCGAGTTGAGCACTTGGCCGGTGGTTTGCATGAATGAATTTAGAGTGGTGGATGATTGGGTCAACATGTTGGTAGTTTGTGTAGAAGCTTTGATCATAGCTTCTAAACCCTTTTCTAAGACACTCAAACGTTTGTCATTATCAGAATTTGATTGATTTGTAGGCTGGTGAGGATGAGGATGTTGGTTTGAAAAAGGTGGGTTAGAAAAATTGTTCGGTGTATTGAACGGGACAGTGTTTCCCCTCGGGAATTGTGGGTTTGATGTGGGAATGAAGTTTTGATTTCCGGGAGAATTTCCTTGGTTCCAAGCAAAATTAGGATGATTTCTCCAACCTGGATTGTAGGTTGGAGAAAATGGATCATTTCTAGGATGCTGAAATGCAGCGTTCATCTGTTCTAAAGTGTGGTTGTTTCCTAGAAGAGGACATTTCTCTGAAACGTGGGTAGGAGACTGACAGTTATGACATCCCGGG